CGAATGAAGCCATCAGTTAGCGCTTAGCGGGGAAAACATGTGTATATGAACTTTGGGCCGTCGCTCATTTTTTGTATGCGTAGTGGTGGAAAGCTGAAAAATTAAGATCTTGTATGATTTATATTGTAGATCCCAAAGTCCTGAGCGAGCGCTTGCGTGGCCACAGAGACGCAATTTGGTCAATCGCCTATCACTCTTCGGATAATCGTCTCGTTTCCGCTTCTTCCGATGGTACAGTGAGGCTCTGGGAACCAGGTAAAACCTTTCATCACGTATCGAATCTGTCTGCCTACTTTTGTAACACATATCTAGTTGTCACAAGGCATTAAATAGTTTTTTGTGACTCAACATTTTTCTGTTCTGTGGTACTTATTTTTTTCATGTCGCGGATGTTGTCAGTCTGTAAAGTTATAGGCTACTCTCCAATTTTTAGGAAACTTTGGTGAACCGCTTTTACGGTCACTGGATGCTCCTTCAGCTGGACTCATACCTACTTCGGTTGACTTTGTCTCCACTGAACCAAGCCAGCTCCTTACCGCTTACACATCATCGACTGCAACTATTACCGATATCGAAACGGGTGCCACCATCCTTTCATTTGATTTCGGCGAAGGTATGTTTTTTCTATAGTTCTCACTCACTTTCGCATAGAAGTTGGTGCTGCATTTTGCCAGTCGTCCAGAAGGTTACATTCAAAATTTGCTACAGCGAGGGCGGTCTAAAATAACATGCGTGATTGCAACCTGGAAAATAAGGGCTAAATTAGAAATTTTGCACAGCCGTTTTCGCTTCTCACATGCAAAGTGCATAGATTGGAACTGTGGCCTGGATCCGCCGTAAGCTAATGAATGAGGTTGACGGATGCTCGGGTTGCCATCGTTCTGCTCCTCTTTTTCCCTTATGTCTCTCCGAGATCTTCTCCTTTATCCAGGTGCTAGTGCGTCCTCTGGATAGACTCGTGAAGCTTTGAAGTTTTGTAGGGAGGAGGATATTATTTTGAGCGTTCTTAGTAAATTTATTCTGAATTTATAGATAAGAGTCTTTCATCACTTGTTCGGTTTCATATTTGAACTACTCTACCAAATCCTACTGTGGTGCAGTATGCCGTCAATTAATTTCTTCCTTTGCGGTCCATCTCCCTTGCTCTCGTAGCATCGATAAGAACCCGACATTTGAGCAGGGTTAAAGCATTACAGGGTTATCGTATAACTTTAATGCGGACTGGCTGGCTAAATTCTCGTATGGCACACATTGTTACATGGGGTTTTGTTTCTAGTTATCGTTTTTGTAACACACTAAACTTTGAATATTTTGGATTCCTATTTTCCAATCCTCTTACCCTCTGGTTTCGAGTTTTAGGTTTTTTGTGATGCACAAATGTGGTTTTCCAGACGTGTATGTATCTTTCAATATTCAGATGATGTATCCCCTGGGAGTTGCATAACTCGAATTCTTTCCCACCCAACAATGCCTCTGACAATCACAGCCGGTGATGATCGCAAGATTCGCTACTTTGATAACCACACAGGTTCGTTCATTTGGTGATCGGCTTTTTAGGAAAAAGAATTTCTCACAAATGTCCTTCAAGGCAAAGTTGACACATAGTGCGGTTGCTCATGTCGAAGGAATTTCCTCCCTTGCTATTGATCCTAATGGACTCTATTTGTTATCTGGAAGTCACGATGGCAGCCTCCGGATGTGGAACATGGAGAAGCGCGTGTGCTTGCAGGTAAGCTCTATGCGATTTTGTGATATCTTTGGAATCTTCATCTAGTTCTCGATACTTTTGGAAATATCTGTTTTGTTCAAGGAAATATCCGCTCATCGCAAGAAGTACGATGCTTCTGTGACTTGCGTGGCATTCCATCCTTCGCGACCGCTAATTGGCTCAGCTGGAGCCGATTCATTGGCAAAAGTGTATTGTCCAGCTTCTTCTTAACATGGAATTATTCGTGGTCATGCGATGCTACTTTGCTGACCAGTTGGCCCACCTTTTTTCGAAATGCTTCGACGTTCATATTTGTAATTGTAATTGTTCGTTTCGCTCTACCATTAATTTGATTAGCGCTTCATTAGCTTTCTCGTGGTATGATTTTCACGAGATCTAGGAGAAGACGTACGCAGATACTGAATGGCCCCTTCCGTAGCAGCACTGTGCAATAGCTGTGAAAATAATTTCCTCACACCAGCCCATCTATTGTCGTTTTCTCACCACCGTCTAGTCACCACATCGCTATCATTGTTGTTTTTTGGACCATCGCATGAGCCCTGTAGGTGAAGCAAGAGGGAACTTTATACTGCACCCATCACGTTGACGTTTTTTGTAGATAAAATTTGCGCCGTAACATGCTCGTAATTTGTGTATAGTTGTACTAGGAGTTAGGTGGTTTGCGATTGCTCCGGTGTCTTTTTACTACCGTATCACAGTTTCGTTTATTATGGAGTTTCTCCTTCATTTCTCCCCCCCCCCATCAAGTACTTTTGTGTCACGAATCATGGCTTGTTAAATTCGAGTTTTTGTGGAATATCTATACCCAAGTAGGTTATGTTCGGAGTGGGGTTATGTTCAGCTGGTTTGCGTGTGATGTTCCTTATTCGACCCTGCTGTCATAGATAGGTTCCTTGTGGAGGTGACAGTGTATTCAAAGTTGTAAGAGTACCCTTTTCGTACTCCACGAGGAGCATTATCATTTCCAGTAATTATTTGTCTATCATATTGCTGAAATTTTCTAGCGTTTTGTATATTTTTAGCGTTAATATTTTAAGGATTTCGATTTTTAGTTACAATGAGTGAATCTGCTAAATTGTGAAAATACTGAGGAACGTATACGTGTTTGTTTTGTTTGATATAAATTCTTTAACTATGCATGTGTCGAGGGTGTTGGGGTGATATTTGGAGGGCGTTATGAGCTTGAGCTTGAAAATATTCCGATGTTTTTCCTGCCATGGTTTTGGTAGGCACTTTTCCTGAGACGTTCGTCTGAAATATGCCGCTCGAGTATAACGAGCTGCAATTCTGAATAGCATTCTATTCACGTCCCATTGCCAGAATGGTCTCGTCAAAAAATGTTCATGTAGAAGATCATCAATGAATGATCCCTCCTGAGGCCGTATGCTGAATTGCTGGGGAGGGGATGGGGATGGGGAAAGGTTGGAAGTTCGTCGCACGACCCACTGGGCAACAGCCCCTTCTTTGATTTTGCAGCTTTGTTTCCATCCTTTTACTGTTACTGATTGTATATTCGCTCGTAAATACCTGCTTTATCCAAAAACAGCGATGAAAGAAGAAAATAAGCTGCAAAATCAAAGGTGCTGCGTCCGTTGCCCAATGGGTCCTGCGGACGCGACCCTCCCAACCGTTCTCCATGCCCAATCCCTTCCCAATATCCGGCGTACGGCCCCTGATCTAGTTATGGTGAAGAGGTGCGGATTTTTTTCGAGGCTTTTGTTTTTATGCAGAACATGAAAACTTGCTTTCACAAATAACACGGTTGGTAACACACAAGCAGCACTGATGGCATTTCACATCGAAGGGCAAGACCAGGATAAAACGGAGTGCGGTTTGATGATAAAAGTAAAGAGGAGAGTAGTGAAAAAGAAAAAAAAAGCAAACGAGTATGATTTTGCCCCAGATCAGCCCCCATCCCCTTTTTTTCAGCAGCAGCAGTCCACCTCATATTGTGCACGGCGTGTTTGGGCAAATTCTTTTTCTGCAAAGCCGCATCAATTGCTGTCTTTCGATCTTATCTTTGGCTGTAATTCCATTAGGAGCTACATCGTAAACGTGCGAGAAAAAAGTTGCAACAAAAGTTGTAACAGCTGCCGTCATACTGCATCCCCTACGACAAGCACGGTGGGCGCGAGAGATGGTGGCGATGGTTGCAACTTGGCAAGTCCGGGACCATTAGCTCCTAACTGGCTTTTTCTGCAGCAAGAGTGACACGACCTATGTAGGTACGAAGCTCTCGTGGTGTGGTCCTTACTTTTGAGTCTAATCCCGGAATTGCCTCTAAATTGGGCCCATGACCAAAGGGCTTACCTATGGTAGGCTCCAATAAAAGTCACCGTTTAGAACAACGTCGATTAAGTGTATCCTGGCTGCGGCTGATGGTTGCCGTGTCCTACTATATATAAGCGGCTAGCGTGTGTCTGTTGGTGTGTGTGTGTGTGTGTGTGTGTTTGACCGGAAATTCATAGCTCGAGTCACAGTAATGATAGCGCAGTGGTTCTTACATATGTTATAGGGGGTGGGATGGGGACACAAGTGGTACGTGATAGGAACTGATAACGACTGATAATAGCTGATAAGAGGGGCTAGAAAGCGAGCATCGCCAATTTCGTTTTGTCGTTCATATTGGTACTAGAGCGTCTATACTTACAAGTGTTATGTGGGTGGTCCCGGGACATTGGTGGTACATGATTGGAAGCGATAGCAACTGATAAGGGCTGATAAGACCGTATACAGGGTGCGCCAAAATTACGGAGACAACGCATGAGCAAACAATTTGAACTGATATTCACAGATGCTGTTTTCTTCTGTCCTAGTTTTGGTACTGTGGTGTAGAATTGTTTATGCTTACCTTGTTCAACCACCAAAATCTATGGTAGCTGCAGCGGTTGACTGATACTGACACCGTCCCTAAATCATTGGACTTCGACGTTGAGGGTTTTTGGCACGCGACAATTATCATCGTTTTGGTGTATACCCGAGCACTATCAATAGATGCTCCAAGTGGTACAGGGGACAAGGAGCTGAATGCAGTCATTCTGGATGAGAAGGGCGTGTTTCTGTGGCGACCACGAACAATCTAAGGATTGTGTGCGATAGAATTTGCAGGTAGTTGACGCGCTGGTTTCACTGGATGTCACGAGAGATAGGAATCAGGGGGCTCTTTTGGACTTATCAGAGCCCATTGCTATCCTGAGTTTATTTTCACTTTGAAAATCGTTGCTGGGCCTTCCATCAAGTAGGAGCTCCCGTTTACGAGGCAAGGGTGGTTCAGTACTAGTGCAGCATTGATGCAGAACCGATTTTTTCGACTTTGTCGGCTTAAACGGTGGTAGAACAGCATTTCAGATCTGAGCTCGATAGGGTACGCTGTCGGATCCGTTCTAGAAGCTGAGGCTTGCATAAAACACATTATGTCTAGGGATTCGTTGAAGAAACCGCTCTAAAATGAGCTTGACGAGTCCTACTCGCCACATTGCGTGCCACAGTCGATGGTTCCTCGATGTTTCTGAGGACCCGTATAAACACAAACCAAGGAATTTCAAAAATTGCATGGATGTCGACGATTCAGAATGGGACTGTGCACGTCACTGCATTTTTGTTTTCAAAGAATTGCACCTTGCTCATCCTAGGCAACTCGAAGTCGCTGTCTCCGTAATTTTGGCGCACCCTGTAGAACGCAAAAGTCGTCGATTCCGTTACCAGCTCGCGTTGACACAGAGCGTCCATACTTACAAGTGTTATGTGGGATGGGACGGGGACATTGTTGGTAGGTGATGGAAAGTGGTTACAACTGATAAGGCTGATAAGGGCGTCAGAACGCAAAAGTCGTCGATTCCGTTACCAGCTTGCGCTGACACTAGAGCGTCCCTACTTACAAATTCTATTGTAGTGGTACGTGCACATTGTATTCGTGTGTGATGACCAGTTGTTCTAGGGATACAGTCGATTGCATAAACAAGTCAAGTCTTCAGCAAATGATAAGTTTCATTTCTGACTATTAAGAAAACCCAAACTCATTAAACCGCTAATCCTTTCGGGGTTCTAAATAATGGTGAATGTAAATAAATGATAAGCCTTAGCTCCTCACTTATGTAAATAGGCATATTTCATTTTCATTTTGAGACTGACAGCAAATTAACGTAACTATCCGAATTCAAGAAGAATGGTGGATGTTTACAGTTGTGAGATACATACCAATTCAGCTCCAGAGGTTATGACGGTTCTCCTGCCCTAGTGAGCTTCAGCAAAACTGTGAGAGTCTAACACAGTCAATAGTGAGATGGTTAATGGAGTATCTCGTGCTGATATTCCATGGGTCCTCCAGATTCGCTGAAGCCTGCCGTGTGATGCGCGCGATAGCGGGCGGAGCAGAACTGGTAACTTATGTAGCTTTCTTCTACTATTTCTTGTGGTTAGAGCCATCAGGAAGTGGAAGCATTTCTCGATTGGACGCCGGAAAAAATGACTGAATGTATGACTAAGATGGGCGTATTCAAAGCTCTCTTCACCATAAGCTACAGTGCAGGTAAAGTCATGCTTTTAGAACTCGCGTCACACTTCCGCCAACTGGTTTCTGAGAAAGGCAACAGAGCCTTGTCACGCAGATGAATGGCCCGAATTGAATGTGCAAATCATTTTATGGGACATGAACTCGCTCAAGCTTTTAATGCTTCTGAAAGGCTTTCAGATTCATGGCGCATCTTGAAAGCACTTGCTCAAAAGGTGAGACATTCGATACTTTCAGCTTCATCTTATTTGAATCTCCTCTGAGTAATAGGTTCGAATCGTTAGCGAATTCAGAACAAACACGCTAGCGGGAAGATAGCAGCTCTGAAACAATGTGCACACTCACAGGGAAAGTGCTTCACAACAGATTCCAGTATATCCTTTAAAGTAAGTAAAATACAGTAACATGATATTATACAAATCGACTGAAATCATTTTTTTGCTATACTAGTGTATGATAATGGGAGTTTTAGGTAGTGAAACGCTGCCTAGAGGTAAATTATGACTTTGTCTCAACCCTGCGGCCTCGTCTTTGACAGCGCCCACTCGTGCCTGCGCTCCTGTTGTTCCCTATCTCTCTTTCGACTCCACATCGTTGCGTCTTTCGATCGCACGCACACACACTCTTGTCGCCGAAAACTCCTAAATATGTAAGGGGCCTTATCCAAGATGTTTCGAGAGTTCCCTACGATTCTTTTGCGTCGTCGGATTTTATAGTAGTACCTGATGATTCTTGCTTGAGCCCCATTCACATCATCGCGGAATGTGTTTTTAAAGCCAAATGTTAGGATAAAGTGGGTGAGAAAGAAGTGAGGGTATGCCTATCACTAAGGGGTGCCAAGCCCCCAAGGAAGCGAGTAGAGGATTCACCTCGAAGGAGAGGAACTCGGATATGATTCGTTGATTTATTCGGTTACCACCCATATGTTGCCCTTTCATTAGAGGAAGTTAAAACAACTTCAGTTCGAAGGCGGAATTTACCATTACAAGGCAGCCTATTAGAATCAAAGCAGAAGGTGCATGATGCCAGTATTAAGAAAAAAATGAGAAACGGCCTAGAACCTAAGAAATGGGACTCCTTCTTGCGCATAGGTGGTCCGTCTTGGCGGCGACTCTCATTGGTGCTGCCCTCTTCAACGTTAGTGCTCTCATAAGCGGCTAGAGAGACGTGTGCGGCTAGTGGTTGGCCAGTTGGTGGGCGTACTATGCCGAAACAGGTCGCGGGGGTCATGCTAGTTCGACGGGAGATATCCCTTATTGCGTATGGACGTGTCGCGTTTTCCACGAAGTAAATTTCTCATCTTCGACCTTGGACCTCATCGTGAAATGCTCCTTTGAGCGGCATGAATTCTAGTTTAAATATGCATTGAGTTATCAAACAAAAGGCGATTTCGTGAGCATGATATCAGCTGTCAGGATTAACACGTGCAACCAAGGGGAAAGGGCCCCCTTCCTGATCTTTCGTTTTCAAGCCATTTTCTCTCGAATTTCTCTGAGCAGTGCGCCTCCTACCACCTCTATTTTAGCATCAACAGACAACGACTGTTTCGTTTTGCCCCTTCCGCATTTCGACAATTCCACGGCAAATATTGATGGATTTACCTGAACAAATATTATGTTGTAGAACAAGTAGGCACTTGCAGGTGCCAGATTTGCTTGATTAACGGAATCGATTTACAGTTTTTTTTTCCGTGATTTTCGAGTGCTTCCTCGACCCTGGGTACTGTTCATTCTTTCTACCAATGCCTGAAGAATTAACCACTAACGGGAATTTCAACGAAAGAAGGCTTCTTTAAGAAATGCCACTCTGCACGTAAAAATTCAACACCATACTAAAAGCAAATAAAATGGCAAATGGACTCGTTCATTTTTGATTTTGAATCCAGGACTTGTGGCCACAGAAACGTGGGTTGGGTTCAGGGACGTTCCCAAGACGAAAGAACTTAGTTTCAATGGCAAATTTCGAGAATAGCAGCCACAGGGAGAGTGGCTTCTCCCTGAACGTTTCCAGAATTGTTTGCGTACACTTTCAAGCCATCGAGTTCTCTGCTTACCGGGTGTATCAGTTGAACAGCACTGTGTACCTAACCAGCAGCGCCATGTGTTCACAATAGTCTCAGTCAAATGACGACAGTGGCGTGAAACTAGTTTTACCCTAATTCGTCCAACTTCACTTACTTTATTCCACCCTCTTATTGGTTACTGTTTATTCACGATTTACTCCATTTACCCTTCATCTTTTCAAACAGAGAAGTATCTTTTAGGGAATCAAATCTACCAAAAAGTGCTCGGGTCGCTTGTTGCTCTCTCTTATCGTTCATACCGACTGATATCTGCCGACAGGTCGCCGTTCCTACTAGACCAAATATTGCTGCCCATCTCGCCCACAGATGCCATATTTTCCTTTCTGGATTTGGGTCGCCATTATTACTACGGTAGCCGATGCCGGGAAGATTCTAGTCTACAGTCCATCGATCAGTTATAGTCATCTGATCTCGAATGGCAGAATTGCCGATGCTTTAGTGAAAGCTGGACACGATGTGGTGAGTTGCGTGAATCCACAGCAAAGATTTTTCCATATTTTCTTAACTTCTGCAATCTGTTTACATGCAATGTTTTTTCAACTTTTTGTACGCAAATTGTGCCTCATTCAAATATGAACATTTAAAGTATACTGAATAAAAGTAGAATGCGCGGCACATCCGAGAAAGGGATTGGTCAACGTTGAGCGCTTTATTCATGCTGCCGAGCTGGTTTTTTGGGCAGAATCTTATGGGCTATATAGTCTGTGACCGCAGCGTTTCACCGTTAACACTGATAAGGTTGGAATGATAAGGGTTCACAAAGAACTCTGCCTCTAACAATTAGAGACCTCAAATAATCAAAGGGTAAAGTGCCCGACATTGATACTTTCCTTGGATTAGAATATATTTGGGGCGTGCTGAACTTTTGCGATTAACCTGCCTACAGAGTCATCTGTCGCATAATTTATATTTCGATGATTTTTATGGGAAAATTGGTTGTTATGGGTAGATGCCGGTCTCGATCAGCGAAAACATATCATGAGCAGGAGCACCGACATTGAGGCCCGCTCGCCGACAACAAGTTCAGAGTCAGCGGAGGAGTCGCCAGCGTGATTGTGGCAGATTGGTTAAATGGTATTGTTACGTCCTACCTCCGAGGACGCGCTGCGACTCGTCCACTGATACTGCCTTCTTACCGCGCAGCGAACCTCCTGTCGGGTACATCTATGAGAGAATCAGCCTCCTGGTTCACCAACGCAGAACAGCCGATTCGGACACGCTCTTTTGACACTTTCAAACGCCATCACCTTCCAATTTCGATGCCTGTTCTTACATAGCCGTAGGCTTTCTCTTCCTCGTTCCCAGTCTCCGAGTCCTTTTCTCTGTTTCTAGGGATCCCTGGAACGGAATTGTTGTTTTCTACCGTGAACGCCACCCGTTGATTGCACATTCCGCCCATGTTGCGCCGACATACATTGTACTGCTTGCACCGAGCACTCTATTGTTTTTTTTGGAAATACTTAGCGGCACCATGAGACAGCTAAAAAATTCCTTTCTGATGCGTGGCTGTTATGAAAATGCTTACGTGTTGAATTTCTCTTCAAGTACGTATTGGCCTGGTTTAGAACCATCCCAACCTCTCTGAATTTTCTTCAGCTCACCACCAAGCCGATGATCATTTTTCACCCATTTCCCAGTTTACGGGAGGTATGTCTGTAACTGCCTTAAGAATTTTCTTTCTTCTGCACCGAACATTTCGATGAAGATCTCGTCAGTCGTAGGCGGGAAATCGCTCCGCTCACGGTGCGTTTCGTGCATCCTAGCCAACGCGCCCCTCTTTTCAATGTTACCAGAGCATCGGCCAAGCGATTGCCTCAGGCTAAGACGAATTCTGTGAAGTAGACGGAAGAAACGAACATTATCATTACACGTGTGAACAAATTGCCATAGGGCCTGTCAATATGGCAGTCCAAATGAAGTGTAGTGCCGGGACTCGAACTTGCCATCTTCCCACGCTTGTCAAGTGCCTGCTGCCCCCCCCCCCCCAAGACTGGCTACCCTCCCCCTGGCTCACTGATACCCCGCTCCACACTGGGGTAAGTGTTACGGGGCTGCGACGGCCCCCCGAGCCACTTTGTGCCTGGTACGCAAGAGTATACAGTAGGTTCCATCAGGATCCCAGGTATGTTTCTGTTCTAGTTCCTTTTCCTTTGAAACACACCCTACAACTAAATTGTTGCAGTAATTGCGCTTCAGCATGCAAGCAAATGTATAGCACGAGTGACAAAATGAGCCTATAAAAATAGGAACCTTCTCTTCTCAAGGATTCTATGAGGCAGACAGACTATTTAAATAGCACTGAGAGGCACACTGTCTCAAGAAAGGAAAAGATTGGAAGACAAAATAACATTATGGAGCGGAGTGACAAACGAAGCTGCTGGAGGGTATTGGAGGCGAAGCTGCCCTGGCCTCCTTGTGCGCAATTCCGGAGTAGGGGTAGTGCGCTTGAACAGCTTATCCACCGCAGGGATTAAATTCATCTTAATGTGTTTTCCTAGTGGTAGGATGCGTATGGGAGGACACTGTTGTCCGGGGTACGTAAATTTCAGTACAAGAGTCACTTCAAAAAATAACTATTAAGTTCACAGGAGAAGGTCGGATAATACTTCCACCCTTTTTTCATTTTTACCAAAGTACACCACACACGTATAGGTAATCGTTCCCACTTCTAGGTCATGTTCATTCCGGAGTACCTGCCTTTATCATCAGAGTTCAATGGAACGAAATCAGCGAAGGTTATTCGCATGAACAATATCAGTAGGTGACTTTTATTTCCTAGTTCTTATTCACTTATTCAAATGGTGAAGTAAAAAAGAAAATGAAGGTGAAGAAATGATCCTTCTTGGTAGTTTCACCGATATGGAGAAATATAAGGAACATCTGCCTAATCAGGAATCGCCGAAAACAAGCAAATTCTCACGTATTCTAAATTATTGGGACAGCAGGTTTTGAGGGCCCCCTTGTTTTTCACAAGTTTTCTCCTTGTTAGTCAAATGCAAGATGCGACTTCTTTCAAAAGTGTCATTACGATTTAGTGTAAAACAGGACGGATCCGCGACCTAATCCATAAATACGAAAGAAAATTTACAACGATTTTGATCTTCTGAACTCTGCGGGTTTTGCTGACAGTGATCAGAGTACGCATTACGTTATATACTTGCATATTATCAAAGTTTTGCAAGTAGTTTATACTTATCGATTCAATATATCGACCCCTTTATCACGTCTATAGTTCGAGTTCCGGAATGGGTAGACGCAGCGAAGTAGTATAGCAAGTTAGTGATGAATATTCTCTAATCGTAACCGCAAAGTTGTACCAGTATTGCGACTCAAAAGTAAGCGGCAATCGCAATGAAACTTCTTTTTGACAGAGAGGCCAGAGAAAGCTTGTCATGCGTCTCAGTCAGAAATTTCGCCAAATGTCCGTCTAAATATTGCTTTTGCCGTCAGTATTGGGTTAATACGCTGAAAGGCAGCGGTTACAATAAATTAAAGAAGGGTTTGGTGCGACATGATAGTGCCAGAATAGTACAAACAAGTAAACCAACAAGTAAACTAGTGGGCGGATCGCTTTTGGGGGCGGAGCGCTTTCGAAGTCCTGCTCAGCAACCAGCGCACCTTTCGTCGTGAAAGCGCCACATCTCGCTTCCCTGGCAGCCAAGTAACTGATTCGTGTGGTGCACATGCTTTCCCCGATGCTGCTTCTTCAAGTGCTTGTGCTACGCGCATCCTAGTTTATGTGGTTTCTGGTCGGTTTCAGACGAAATAGTGGACTAAATCTGCGGTATGGTTTCTTTTCCAGTACTACATGCACTTCATTCTCTCGCAGGGACCCTGTTGTAGATGGTACGAACCACGTACTACTGCGGTCCTGTGTTGCCCCTGCGTTGATGATCCTTCTTCTATCACCGGGTTGACGACCCATCGTCACTCATTCCGCGACGTTTTTCACCCTGACCACCTTTCAGTGGGAGCGGCTACGTAGCAAAAATGATTTACGGATGACTGTGACAAAATGAGGGATTTACGTGTACACTTCCTGAGATATAATAATTTTCAAAGGAAGTGGTCTTCCTTCGATCATTCTCCTTGCTTTTCTTAATTTTTTCTTTGTGAGCAAGCTTCTTAGTTTTCCTTATTTCGTGTTTAAAGGCAAAGGTCGGGCTTAGTTGACCTAACCAACCTTTTCGGTCATGTCTGTACTTGGTTACGCACCCGTACAGATGTTCCCACGCTCAAAATCTCGAACAACGGGGTAAGAAGGCCTCAGGGCACGTACTATGCGCTATCGCCGCCTGGCCCCGCTACGACCGCCCACCTTGGGATGTGGTGCGTGGCTGGCATAACGTGTGAAATCAGCTAGGTTGATTGCCGTATCAACCGATAGAACGACTGATATCTTCAGAAAACTTGTTTGTACGTGCCTCTTTCCCCAAGCCAGCCTCCTTCACTGCTAGTGGGAAAGAGGGTTTTGTTAACGGCCTTGTCGACGGTTTTTCTCAGTTTTTTCTCCACTGTCGTTCCACTTCGCATCTCTATACTCAGTTTCAATCGCCATAATACCCCCTTATTGAGCCCGACTTTTGCCTTTAAACACTCCGAACCCGTTTTTTGACTGTTTCAGTATGCGCCCATAAGCACAACTCGCCACCAAATTTAAGGCTATTTTATTAGGACGTGAAACAAAAGATGCCGAGACTAGCGTCAGCGAAAAATGCAAAAGAAAACCAAAAAATATGGAATAGAGGGAATTCCTTTCCTGTAGCAGTTGCACGACGAGTAGATGCATCGTCTCATCGGCCCCAGCAAGAGAAGAAGGAAAATGCGAGATAGTGTCGCCCAAGAGGGCGCATACATTGCCTGTATTGAACGAGTAAAAAATAGCAGCTGTGGTCTAGGAAAGGAGTACTAGTTCTTTCATCGCAGAGTTTCCATTCGCTAGTGTGGCAACATTTTCGTGCTTACAGACCCTGCGACCTGTCACAGAAGCAATTCCAAAGAACTAATTGCAGGCTGTGCCTTCGAAAGAATACACAACTTCTCGTAAAAGGTATCGAACAAGAGGCCCGTGTCGGCGAGAAGGGCCATGACGCAGACGGGCCAGACGGGACGAGTCGTGTTGTGTGATGTTGGACGTACTATCGTACATTCTATTCAACTGACGCGAAATCAGTGCAGTACGCGCTGCGACTCGTTCGCTGACCCGTCTACGTCCCCTGCTTACTCGCCGCGTGACCGACCTCCTGTCAGAGACCCGGGTGGAAACAGTACAAGTGTGGTTTCCGATAATGTACAAACTTGTTGTTAAGGTTCACTGTATGAGGACGACATGGTTGGGCTCGACAGCTTGCTCATGCGACAGGCTCGTTTGAGTTTCGGCGACAGAGTGCAGTATGAGTACACACTTGTTGCGATGTGCAGGGGTGAGTTCAAATTTATGCTTAGAGGAGGGTTCCACGATAAAGGAGGAGGTCGAATAAGGGAAAACTCTCCTGAGAGAGCATGAACAGGCGGACTTCCGAACGATGGGGACCGACATAGGTTGTCTTTTCATCGTAAATCCCCCTTCAAGGGTGGTGGGTCGCCACCACGGCAGAAGTGGTACCTTATACCCCTTCCAATGGAGGGACTTCTTAAGTTATACGGAGCCCGCGACCTACCTCCTACTCACATCAATAGTGAACACACGTAGGTACTGCAGCCAATAGAGTGTGAGCCCATGTTCAGTACCTTATGGATCTAGGAGCCAAGAGACTGCCGGAGTTTGCAACGACCATATTGGCCCCATGGTTTCTCTTTACACTCAAATTGTTGACCATTTGGAGCAAGTGCACTCTGGGTCGTTTTTATTGTGCCCTGGGTCGTCACTTGCGCTTCTGCAAAGCGGACTACTCGAATTGCGGATAGCTATGGATGTGTCCTTCTCGCGGCTTGAACGTGCAGAAGAAGGACGCTGGGGCCTTGTCATAACCACCGCTGACCGCCGAGATTCTGCCCACAGTGCGACAGTACACTCGGCTTTGTGTGTGTTATCTACATCGTTAGCTATGCCCTCTCGTTCCGCTCTTCCCTTATCTCCGCTTACAAGAGTGTAACTCAAATCTACCTCTTCCAGTTTTCGTTAAAACCTCACAGTTGAATCCCCTTATCACTGCTTATCAACCCTTTCCAGTGTTCTTCACGTATTATTATCATCGAACTTTTCGACCTGAATTATTTTAGTAAAGTAAACCGTGTCTATCCACTCTTATTTCTTTCACCGAACGAAATGGTCGGGCTTGAAGGCGAAATCGGTAGGAAAACGATCTTTGAACGCACCTTTCTGAATACCCATCAGTCGAAGGGTTAGCGTTCTCCTTGATGGCAGTTCGCCTTACGCGACCATCTTATTATTATCTTCACCCGGTATTAACCACAGCACTATAAATGAGTTAGCTGTTTTATTATTACGCGATCTCTTCAGTATTGTGCTGTCCCGGAGCCTCATCAGGACCTAAATTTGTTTAACACAGAGAAGCTCCAAAAGTTTTATTCCAAAAGAATTCCAAAAGTTCACAAAAGTCCAAATACTCCAAAAAACGAGCCAAAAAATTTTGAAAAGAATTCCTTTGGAAACTTCCGCGATATTTCGGTGTATAGCGTACGCCTCACCCTCTGCTTAAATAGTAGCGGTGGACGTACTGTGACGGTCATTTTATGTGATAATAAAAAATGACGTGACGTTGAGCACGTAGTTAATTTATTAGTTGCAAGCGTCACGTAGTTCGTCCTTACTATTTATTTCGGGTGATAGTTTTCTTATTTCTAATGCTTCCTAGTAATTTTCCTTTCCAACAGGTTGTTATGAACAAAGTTTTCACCTTTGTCCGTGCCTTTGGGAAAAGCACACTCATATTGTTCCCGGTCTAGAAAAGATTAGGGATATTTTTCGCCGAATGTTGTGTCAGTCGAAAAAAAGGTGAAGGTCGGTCTTTAGCTTAACTGAAGAGGTCCCCCCCCCGTGGGTGAAGGTGCAAGATCCGCAACTGCGCAGGCGGCGACAACTTATCAAACTAAACAAAACTTAACAAACAAACTAAACAAAACTTAACAAAAAACTTATCAGCGACTCATCTCAAAACGCCTATCTATGACGTTCGTCCCGCCCACATTTGATATCCTCTCTGGTTCTTATTGATACTAACAAATCCAAGTTCTTCCACTCCCCCCCCCTTCCTCCCCATTTGCAACGCTCATCATTTTTCGGCGGTGTGCCTCTTTAGAATTTCCGCGGCATAGACCAACGAGGTTCGCATTTTCTGCGTTCTTGACGACGTTTTCCTTACCTCCTTTCTTCCTTTTTCCTTGACTTTTGAACCCCTTCGAATCCCTACTTTTGCATTCGAGTGAGATTACCACATCAAAATGATCCTTATCCTTGGCTTCAAGATACACCCCTGGCGTCTTGAAAAGGGAGCCTATAGCAGCCATAACACTATGAAGGCAGGCTGAAACTATCTGCAGAACTTTTTGATTCGTTAACTTGCCTACATTCATACTCTGTAATGAATAGAGTTGATGGCTCGTCGCGAGGAGCTGGAGCAGCTCAGAACGTACGGATTCGATGCAGCTTTTGCGGAGCAGATCGATCTTTGTGGAATCGGTGTAATTAGGTGCGTTAAACTTTTCCTTATGGAGAGATGCCGCAAGCAACTTCTTACAAGGAAAAAAATCGTGCATATTTTGCAGTTCTGTTCCCTCTATCACACACACACCTTTCAGATATCTTGGAATTAGAAACTTGCTATGGATCTCAACCACTCCACTCATGGATGCAGTGAGCTATAACCTAGGTTAATTCTTTTGCTGAGACATTCAAATACCTATTCTTCGGTAAACTAGAACTTTTTTTACTAACTATTATCCATCTAAACAACGCTGTATGATTTATTGTACCAACTTCAATAGTTTTATTGCCACTCGCTTCTGACTCGAACTTTATAAGGTAGGGGAGACTTCGCCATCACGTTGTAACCTTGATAAGGGGTTTGAGGATCTTTTCGACTCATTCCGCTTTCTAGGCACTCTCTAGATCCGGTCCTCAAAGCAACAACGCCAAATGGCTTCTTCTTTTGCTTCTGATATAGTGAAATATGCGTATGTCTAGGTTGAGAAATATGAAGGTGTTTAGCTAAAGCAAAACTGGCCTTGAAAAAAGGGACGCCAGGAGGAGTTGGAGAGGTGTCAGTTCTGGTCCGTCTGCCTTCCCGTCGACACGCCCATTTGCTAGCCTCGAGATCGCGTGATTGCCTAGCCAGTGCGTGGCGGCTAATTCAAATAGCTGGATAGTGGAGCTGTGGAGCAAGCCTGTTCAAAAAACTCGTCCATTTCCCTCCTCTTCCTTGTTTCCAGTGAGAAGAGAGGAATACTTGTTGATGACTTCAACGGCGCTTTGCTATGGGTCATTTGACATTTCCAGACAATTCGGCATCCATATCATTGTCAACCGCTGCTACCTCCCAATTTGATCTAGGGTTGTTGTTTTAAAGGCAGCGATTACGATAAAGAGGGAGCGCATCGGGAAGCATATGCACCACACGAATCAGTTACTTGGCTGCCAGGGAAGCGAGATGTGGCGCTTTCACAACGAAAGGTGCGCTGGTTGCTGAGCAGGACTTCGAAAGCGCTCCGCCCCCAAAAGCGATCCGCCCACTAGTTTACTTGTTGATTTGGACGAGCTGCGTGGCCAGCAGCGGCGCAAATGGAGCATCTCGATTAAAGCGTTGTTTGGTATGGTGCCATCAAAGGCATTACGGTGAACTCGTTCATACGTCCACTTTCTGGCTATTCATGAGTGAAAACAACGGCCAAAAAAGGGGTCCTCGTTTTGCGTGTTCTCGACGGATTTTTCTGCTTTTTCCGCTTCTGACGTCCCAGTTAGCGCCACCGCGTTTACACTAAAGTCTCTTTTTTGAATATATCGTAATCTCTGCCTCCAACTCATATAGTGGACTTCAGGTATTCCGGCACCACCTTCTTATGTGCCGACGATAGAAGAAAATGACAATGGGGACACGATGAACTTCTGGCAGAGAGCTTATAATGTGTATATGTATATTGGTACCATATTAACTCACCGTATAGGCACTGATATGACAACGGAGGTGGGTCTTTTTGTAACATCACAATCAGGGCATATGACAAAGTTCAACGGTTTTTTTTATTTTTGTATTTTTTAGTCTTTCATTTTGAAACTTTGGCATTAAAACAACCACCTCATGGTGAGTTCGTGTTAAAACCTATTCTCTGGGTAGATATAGTTGCCCACAAGACTGCTACAGCAGCACCGTCGTCGTGATCGCAAAGTGAGCTAATAAGAGCTAATAAGGGCCAGTGGACGAGATACCTTGCTCGCTCCTAACGCGCGAAGTGGATTCCGACGTAGATGGCCGATAGATGGATAGATATGCCGGAAGCCTAAGCCGCATCGCACTGATGTGGTTGTGTTCAAAACTCGTTTAGACATGTCCTTTCTTCACCATTACTGTCATTGGCTGCCACCCTTTCTTTGATCTGGGCGTTGTTGCTTGAAGTTAAAGGAAGCGATTACGATAGATCTCAAGGGGTTCAGAGGGGACGTGGGGGTCTCAATAGTACGCCAATGGCGAAAAAAGCAAAGAAATCCGTCAAAAATAAGCAAAATAGTACCCCTTTGATTGCCCTTTCATTTTCGACCATGGATGAGCGACGGTAAAGAATGAAGTTGTTCGGACGTGTTAACCCCGATAGCCGCCATCATGCCAACAAGCATAGTGTTTTGATTGATAAGGCATTACATGGGCAAGTTGGAAGATACAGCCGCTAAAAGGGAAAACGATCATCCAAAATGAAAAGCCAACAGCAAACAGTCCATCCAGATCATCAACAAAACTAGTGGGCGTCACGTCACTGGGGGCGGGGCGTCACGCGGGTCCTGCTCAGCAACCACAGCACCTTTCGCCGTGGGAGGCCACACATCGCTTCCTTGGCAGCCAAGTAATTGCTCCGTGTGGCGCAGGTTCTCCCCCGATGCGAAAATTCCTTATCGTAATCGCTTCCTTTAAACACCGTAAAAGTGCAGAAGAAACCCCAAAACATAGCGAAAGCAAGAGAACAAGATACCGGCAAGGTAGCGTGCACTGATTTATATAGTGAACACTATGGGAGGTTCAAGCTCCTTCCAACCTTGCCATGTGTCTTCAATCGTGTCGGTGGCGCTAATTTGGCAGCTGCATACCTAGCACCTTCATTCACGTAAGGAACGATCGACTTGATCTGATCGTCGGCATAAGCCTTTAAAATCAAAAAAATAAAATAAAATTATAATAATAAAACCAGGCTCCCATAAATAATTCATTAATATTTACCGTGAACATCGATTGATCAGCAATGCGATATCTTCAGGTTTTTCGAGAACTCGATCCGTCTTTTCCAAATGTCCGAGAGATTGCAGCCAATGCAAGTCTATGTTTCGTGAACGCTGATGAAATGTTCGACTTACCACGACCTATCATACATAAAGCCATATACATCGGCGGTTTAGGGATTAACGAACCAAAACCGCTCGACAAGGTATGAGACGTCCTCGGTTGCTATCCAAAGAATTCCACTCAAGGTTGTATTGTAGAAGTTTTCCGCTCTCATGGAGAAAGGCAACAAGGGTGTCATTATCGTCTCCTTAGGCACGATCGCTCCATTCCATGCTTTTCCCGATGCTACCAAAGCAGCATTCGCTTCAGTGTTCAGGTCGATGTCTGACTACCATTTCATTTTGAAAATCACAAAAGGTAGGATTCATCAGTCTTTTTCTAGAGGCTGTCAAAAATTTCGAAGAGGGCAGCATGAAGTGGGCACACATACATGTGTTGAAAGATCGAGTGTTATCCGCGTTGTTCAAGCTGTTGTGATGAGCGGAGCATTCACCTCCCACTCAAGGCGTCATTTGAATTCCATTCGTATAAGTAATGGCCTCCATGGGCAACTAATACAACTTGTTCACAGTTTCATTTTTTTCTCGTTGAAGAATAGGGTACCAACTAGCCTTTCTGAGAGAAAAGGTTCGGAAAGGCATGGAGAATGAGCCGACGATAGAGCATTGGAGAGTAATTACCGGAAAAACTCTTACATTCTTTCCCAACACATGAATGGTGATAATCTTGTGTAACTAGCAACAATACACGACAGTTTTCGACGCGCGCAAGGGCGTTATACGAAAGAGAACGAACTAGCTCCTTAAAACCGGATGCTCGGTGTATGGACAGTAGAAGGCACTTGCGTGGCGTCAAAGGCGGGGCATGGAAATAAGTATGCCTCGGACTAGCCACGTATAAGGTGATGCAATGAAAGAATCCAATCGAAGCATTCGATTTTGGAGGAAGGAGTCAAGAAGTCGATAGTATTGGAAATAGGACAAAATAGGAATAGTACATTACAGCAAAGAAGCGTTATGAGAACGTGAGATGTCAGTTTAATTAAGTCAAAATATCAAAGACTTTAATGACAGAACGGCCGGTGACCAGGAAAGCGTTCCCGCCCTACTAGCATTTGTAACAGTTTCTGCCGTGAAAATTCAATCGCCGGAGCAGTCCATTCGATGACGTTACCAAAACAGAACAAATTTTTTTCTTCTCGCTGTATCGTTAGCCGATGGTCTCAAGCCAGTATTTTATAATGAGAAGAATCGTGTGATCTTTGCCAGAAGGATTTCTTCGAAAACCAAGGTTGAGATTAGGAGCAAACCCTTCCGACCTCTGTGCGTTGTCACGCACCCACTTAGATGGTCGTAAGGCCCTGGGAGTATTGTTTGCCGTCGCCGCTTGACGTTAGCTATGGCGGTACACCGCGGCAGGTGTCGTGCGTGCGCTGCATATGTGTCGTGAAATCAGCTGCTGCATTGCCGTAGTACTAACTGTTAGGCGACCGTCAAGGGCTGGCAATACGAACATCCGGAACTCTCCTGCCTATCGTCCGCACTCCTCGCCACTGGTTTGAAAAGAAAGGCGGGGGGCGAGAGGTGGAACGGCCGAATTCTAATTCCATTTTTGTCGACAATTCTTCTCGTTTTTTCTTCACTTTCATTCCATTTCGCATGTCTGCACTCAGTTTCAAGCGGACAACAGTCGACAATACTCTACATCGAGCTCATTCTTTGCTTTCAACGAAACAGATGCTAATGCGATTCTCGTGTGCTTTGCAGTAAGGAGAGCCCCTTCTTGATTCAAAATAAGGCCAGATACAGTAATGGGGGTTTTTGGGCAGTTCCCAGCCGCTGGTGATAGTTTTGCGCTCGCGCAGCATTTGTAGTGTAGAATGTACTGTATTCAGTAAAGCACGCGTCCGTGCAAGTGTGTCGTAGCGTTCTAAGGAACTACACGAAATCGGATCTCTAAATTGCATCAATGTAGTGTCCTCGCCTGCACTCCTCGCCTATACAACATCTCATGAATCCTGTGACTCATACACTTCACTTGGACCGTACGGCCACAAACTTTTCTTCGAGGTACCTCAAGTTTTGCATTGAGCCCTTCATCTTATTTTCTGACAAGTGCAAACCTGAGCCACCCAGGGCCAGCATCTGTCTGTGTCTGCATGTCTAGCCGTTCGCATTTTGATTGCATTTCTGTGAAATAACTGTACTATGTGATACCTTTAGCGTAATTTCAGTTCAAGATTTTCTTTCCTAGGAAAAAATTATCTCAGCTCAATCGTAGTTTCCACTACGGTTTTACATCTCATCTCAGCTAGTTCGAATCCTGATGAGCTATCAAGTTTACGCAGAGTAATGGTAATTCAATAAGCTTGCACACGTATCGTCCGGAGCTGAAATTTCAGTAGGATATTGCCATGACTTACAATCTCTTCCATTTCTTAAATTACAGGATGGCCACAAATTACGGTTGACAAGATGAGGTGATCATAGAAAAATTATACGGCTAAGAAAAGTAAATCGGAAAATACAACTATATCAACTGAAGGCTAGTAAACTGAAACAAAACTAATCCCAAATTGGCCGACGCCTGCATTGACAAAGGAGCGAAGTAGTCCGGGCAACCCACTCACCGCGGCGCGTTAGTGGTAAACGGCGAATTCACATTAGTGGTAAGCACAGAAAGGCCCAAGTTCCAAGACGGGCAGTTAGAATTTAGGCCTTTCTGAATTTGTAGGCCCACATCTTAAGAGTATTTCTGACGCGTTACATGTTATTGTCTCAGTTATCTATGTTTAGTTTACACATGCATGCCGCGCCTCTTGTTACCGTAATTTGTGGCCACCCTATAGTTTCTTTTGTTAGCTCTCAACTCATCCGATGAAACGGCTAGCTTACTCATTTATTATGAGCCGCTGACTGGGAAGGCCCAGTTTCGTCAATGCCAATGCAATTTCAAATGGGAAACCAGGGTGAGACGTATCCCAAAGGCAGTGATGCGCTTGTTCGTTTTTATATTTGCTGGCGATAATAAGAGGAGTGAATGCCCAGATTTATACAGGGTTCTTGGTAAAATGGTCTCCTGAGATCCAAGTACAGGTCGTTTATGTGGTCTTTCTACCTATGACGTGTAGATCATAGCGGCAAAAGATTTGATTTCAAAAAAATGAAAAAAAAACAGAAACAAAACGGAAAACAATTTGGTTGATGATTCAAGAGTACAAGAAGTAGGGGAGTAGAAAGAACATCACCTTTCAGTGAAACACTTACCTGAAAAGTATTATAAGAAATGCACTATTATGATACCAGTATGGCTCCGCTCGCTACCGCGCGCATGTCAACATAGGCTTCAGTGAAATTGAGTATAGCCGGGCTGTTGTATTGAGTAACATACTGCTTTCAATGATTTCGACTGATGGTATTAAGGGTGTGCAGATGATAACAGTAATTTCCCATAGTTCGTGAATACGAATAAACGTCCATCAATTTTAAGAACTAATAAATTTTAGTGGCCGAATGAGCCGCTTGGACAACAACTAAAATTAATTGGGCTACTTACTATCAGCCCTCAGCGTAAACCTCTACCATGCATTGGATGTTGGGATGGCTCAGCGATTGAATTCTTATGCCGCTGATGAGATGGAAATACTATACTAATCGTACTTCCAGAAACACCAACCATTTAAGAAGCTCGGACAGATTAGCGGTCGATTTGATCACTAATGGACGACATCGCGAAGAAATGAGATGTTTTCTTTATTGTGCATCTGGATAAGAACTTCAGTGACATTGCCCTTCAACGCTCCTTATCAGCTCCTATCAGCTGTTATCACTTTCTGGTCCCCATCAAATATGTTCCCGTCCCACCCCCTATATCATATCTGCAAAACAACGCCTCAATGCTGCTGGGCCTTGCGCTGTGAATTTCGTGACATTTGCGTTCCAACGCTTCTTATCAGCCCTTATCAGCTGTTATCACTTTCTGGTCCCCACCAAATATGTTCCCGTCCCACCCCTATATCATATCTTGAAACCAACTCCTGACGACCGCTGGTTGGCGTGCTATGAATTTCCGGTCAAACACAAACACCAACAGACACACTTAGCCGATCAAATATAACAGAATTAATTTCTTTTACAGATGACACTACAACCCAGGCCTTCTTGAAGGACGTTAGTAATTGTGACCTGATCGAGTGGCTGCCGCAGAGCGACATTTTAGGTTTGTACGGGTAATATTATTCCAATAGACTTTCAGGAATCAACAGAGACTTTGATCTGACTATAAAAATGCTGTAAATATGAGTAAAATAGTAAATATAAGTAAATCGCCTCTGAACATGAGAAAAAGGATTTGTTCAGGGCATCCAAGACTGCGATTATTCGTAACGCATGGTGGCATAAATGGTCTGATGGAGGCGCTGTTGAGAGCAGTACCGGTTGTGGTCATCCCAATATTTGCCGATCAGTTTCGAAATGGACGAAACGCCGAGAAACGAGGAGTAGGAAAGGTGCGCTAAGATGCGGTGTTCTTCAAATATTTCAGTGCTCATAAATTGTGTATAAGCCAAGAAACTTGAAATCAAATTGCTTTTACATCATTCTACTTTTTTCCATTATCACCAAATTATTTAGGTTGTGTTAAAACTGAACTTGAATGAGAAAACTATAAAGGCAGCAATGGAAGAAGTTCTCTATCACGACAGGTGAGTTTTCGAGTCGTTCCAGTTGTTAATCAATGAATAATGAAAAAATAGAAGTGCGAATCAGTTCTCATAGGAGCACGTCGAAAAGAATCAATTAGAAGTTTTATCTTGGGAGGATTTCATAATACAGTCAGAAGTAAAATTGAATAGGTCAACGTAGAAGGGAAAAGGGAAAAGCCGAAAACTACCAGGCGCACTATCTAAAGGTGCGAGGCAATGCGCGTTTCGCAGCGAAAAGTGTGCCACAGCGACCTAGCAAGGCCGTACCGCCGCCGTTCGTGCCTTTTCACACCCACCGAAGGGTTCTTCGCAGTCTGACCCTATTCGTTGAGTAGAGATAGCATTAGCACTGAAGAGGGCAGCACCAGTGAGAGTCGCATCAATGCGAAAATCAACGGGCGAAGAAAGGGTCGCATTTCTCTGGATCTGCGCCGTTTCTCATTTTTTCATCCTCTGCGCCAGTAACCGCCTGCACCTTGATTTTCTAAACATCTTTTTCTAATCGTGGCTCTGCTCTAAAGTCGTTGATTGGCGGCAGTCACTCGAATCATTAGAGCGCCCTACTGTTAGTCGTTTAAAAAGGGGAGGAGGGGGAGGGATAACTAGGCAATGAGAACTGCATAGTGGTCCAAGCAACTCCTTCCGTCAAAAGCACAGTCGTTAAGTTCGCGTCTGCGCGAATTTGCATATTGCTGCGAAGATTCTTTTTTGTTTCTTTTCTTTTTTATGTTACTTGTTACTCCTTGTACTTGTAGTCTTCTGCGTGTTACAATGAATTATGCGTTTATGAGGAAGAATTTCAGTTATAAGCAGAACGCTATTCGTCTGTCAAAGCTAATGTCGGAGAAGCCGTTCTCTGCTGAAGGAGCGGCTCATTCGATGGACGAGTTTTGCTGTTGAGAACGGTGTTTTGGATGAGCTTCATGTGGAAGGCTCACGCATGAATTTTATCACTTACTTTAACATGGACGTCATCGCCGCTGCTACAGCCGTTCTATGTCTAGTCATCTTCCTAGTACTCAAGTCACTTAGAGTTTTTTGCTGCCGGAGACGTGACACTAAATTGAAACGTCAATAATTGGATCTAATTCAACTGCTATGTGTTAACTATTATGTGTTGACTATTACTTTAAATGCTTCCGTATAATGTATGCTCATCTCCTTGGCCCCGGCCTGGGTTAATCTTATTGCCAGACCTGCAACACGTTTCCAAACAATTTTTAGGAGTGAACTTTGTCTAGTTATTATGGAGCAATGCCATTCGTATGGCGAATAAATGACAAATGGCATTGGATCGAATCGCTGGAAGCAATTTCAGGGCACCACCAAATATGTTTTCTATACACTAATTGGACAGCAGGCGGACGCAATGTCGAGCTGTTTATCCTGCAAGTGAAAAATCGTTTTCGTGTTTCCGCGATGGGAATTTCCGCTCCAAAAGCAATTGTAATGAAACCCATTAAAGCTTGCAGGTCAAACTGCTACATTTTTTGCTTCGCTACAACAATATTTTTGCAAAACGGAACGAGAAATAACTAAATCGGCAACTCGAATAAGCAAGCAGGTTGATGAACGGTTACGTTTGCGACCACACGAGCAGCATCTTCATTAACACGTAAGGAATTTCGTTCTACAAACGATGTATTGATGACGTCTTTGTTATTGGAGCAACGGAAGATGATCTTGTGGAAACGTTAGAAAGACTGAACACACACGATATGAACATCACCTTCACAAGAGAAGATCCAGGGAGGGATGGTTTTTTGCCATTTCTCAACACGCAAGTAAGAATACGTGAAGGCTAACAGGAACACCTATCGTACAGAAAAGCTGTCTCGTCCAATGGCTTGTTGCATTCTAGAAGTGCCCACCCAATACATACAGGGGTGGCCCAAAAAAGACACTTTGCCAATTTCACACATCATCAAATTTTTCTTCGCACAGAATGCCGCAGCTAATGAATGTTTTACGGCAGAATATTCCTTAGGTGTCCCCCATAAGCAGAAGCAGCCCCTACTTCAATGCCCTCACGGTCTTCAGAATATGACGTCATCTGCCGTCGCCGTCAAGCTCAACGGGGCTTACCGTAATCGCTCCGGCCTGAAGCTGCAAACCTAATTTCTTCAATCGGTTAAGCGGTGAATAGCTTCCCAGAGACACTAGCTGTGACTGTGCAAGACCGCTTTTGACCGGCGTTTCAGGGACGTCGTAATGGTCTATGGTACCTCGACGACGTCGTTGAGCTCGTACCGTGAACCATGTTTCCGTGGGAAAATCTTCTGATGTCGTCGGTGTAGAAGGCTGTCATGTGCTCTTTTAATATGCAATTGGGCTCATTTGATTTGGTTTCGCAGTTCGAGATTAATTGCGTTTTGAATGTGGAGAGAAGTGACTCTTTTTTTGCCCCCCCCCCTGTATATGAAGGCGAACGTCGTGCGGAATCTTCTAAGAACGAAGAGAAGTTAGGGACACGAAGGGACCCAGTTGTGAACACCAAAGTTGAAAGCATTCTTGAAAGTAATGGATACTTCGAAGGAACTTTCAAGACCTGGGTTCCACATAGATCAGCAGACGGAATAACCCTCATGATGTCCACGACAAAATGGCACGTGAGGTGAACCGCGTTGTGAAGAACTCCCAACTTCCATCCGACTTGTCTTCCGTCCTCCTCCTACCCTGAAAGATCTCTTCACATCCCGAATTTATGAAAATCGGTGCCACGAACAATCTTGTCGATACTGCACATCAGAGAAGATCTGTGAACTCCAAGGCACGTTTATCTTGTTTATGCAGAGGATGTGGAGAAAAATACGTGGGGGAAACGGCAAGACCTTTGAAGATTCGACTGGACGAGCATAGGAGAGCGTTGGCCAATCCCGCCGCTTATCCTCATAGCAGCTTCTCCAGACACCGTACGTTGAGACATGAGAATGAGGACGCTCCATCTTTCAATGTGAGCGTTCTGCATAGACATTTGGTACGGCCACTGGAAAGAAAGATCATGGAAGCGCGGGAAATACATCGAATCAGGCCAGAAATTAACAAAAAGGAAGAGCTACGTGACCTTTTGAGACTTCTTACGTAATCAATGAAGTCCTTCCCTCGGGGATGATGTCTCATTTTTCACTCGTTCCCGACCCTCATAGGTCCCCTCCGTACTCCCTTATCGCTGGTATGTCGATGTATCGTGTTTATTGTATAAGAACAGTTGATCAGTCGCAAGTATTGTAATTTTAAGATTGGTCTGATGATGGCATTATTGCCGAAAGCTTGCCAATAAAGTGTGAAAGTCGAAGAGCTTCAAGAACATTCAATCTACGATCCAGAATCAAATGAAGCTTAGAGATAGCAGCAATATGTCATAATTGGAAGTGGCGTCGTTGGCGCAGACCTGGGGAAGGCATAGAAGATACGGTAGTCTGTGCCCGAACGCGTTCCTGAGTTCCACCAACCTCGCTCTATTGATCTTGCTGGCACTGGGCACGTCCGGGCACGGTCCACAGAGGAAATAGAGTTGTGCAGCTTCCTATCCTTGCCATCGTTGCCTTGGCGTCTCAAAGTCCCAATCGTATGACACACCAAGGGCTGCCCCAGGAACGGACAACTGCGCCCTGATAAATTTAGGCGAATAGCGCACAAACCTGAAACTGCACTTTACAACCCTGCGGTATGGGATGGATGTGTCGGGTAGTTGCAATTACATAATCGACGGCTGTAGTCGTGGAGTGGTGGTGCGAGATGACCGATGCGCGGACGGCAGAAGAGCCAACTGCCGACACAACCTATACCTCAAGGTGGAGCCGACCCATTCAATACTGTGGTAACTTTTGTGTTGTGGCATCCTCACCTTTGAACATCTTCGCGTGTAGCTTGGATATGAGCGCTGTAAGGGCGGTCATTGCCTGACAAAGGCAAGTTGGCGTCGTTAAAAGCGGCCGACATTGAGAGTTATGAGAGAAAAGTGACAGATGAATCGACTCTGTGGCTTGCTTCATTTCATTCACGAATATTGCAGTGAAATCGTATTCTGCTTTTATCATGCACAGGACGGGATGGCCTCGTTAAGGATTTGGTAGTCGTACTTAGGCTCAGTTGGCGGAAAGGTATTCGCGAGTTTATGGAATCTAGGGTTTCTGGGAGAATCGTGCAATGCAGCTCAGCTCTGATCAATGTTTCTACTAATGTGCGGGACTTAATATCTAGTGATAGTGCCCTCTAGCAAAAAATGCAATACCAGACATGGAAATTATTCAAGTCAACTAGGCTAGTCAGCTATCCGAGGCCGGTGTCGGATTTTGGCCATGGTCAGACTTTACAAATTCAGGGATTCACAGCTGATTAGTCGGAAGCTGTTAAAATCGTTTCAGTAAGGTGAGATGAATGCGGGAACGAGAGCGGCTCCCGCACTACAAATCAGTGCCTCGAACGCTGCGTGCGGTCGGCTCGTATGGCCTGGATTACGCTAGCTGTAGGTCGCTAGAGATTTTGCAAAGACCTGGACATGGGGCTTGGGGTTATTTAGGTATCAGCCAGAGTATAAATGCCAAATGCACATAATGATGGATATGCACTGCGAGCCATTCGTGTGGGTCACGTATGCCATGTAGATATGCTGATATAAAAGTGAAACGCGTGACACAACAGCGAATTGGTCACGCATCACTTCCTTGCATTCATTTTTTGCTTTAAATTTGCTCCAACACTGTGCACGCTCCCATCACATTTCTGTTCATCTACGCTACTGTCCCAGTTTGCGGGACTCGTTGTTGTGTGTTATGGGGAAAATAGCCATCACACTTGAAAGGTGGCCTTATGGTGTAGTTGTGGGAGGCGAGTCCGGGAGTCTTCGATGGGGTCGATTGGGCATTAGTGATTCCTCTCGGATAAAAAAGGCGTACAGGCTGCCTTTTGATTATTGTGCAAGCTCATTCAGCTGGCGTGATGTGGTGTTACGACGCGATCTATAGGGGTGAGGGTTCTGGTAGAAATGGCAACCTATCGAGAAGATGAAGGTGTGCAAATGGTAATGGGTCAAAGGTACAATTCACTATGGCGATGATTCATACTTGTAGTGATTACCATAGGTAATCCACAGGTATCACAGTTTCGTCTAAAGCAAGTCGGGGTGCAATTATGTAACATTTTTGAATAAAAATTCATTGTTTTGCTGGGAAGACACACTTCCGAGAGCCGAGCGCGATCCGGCTATTCAGTTCTCCCATTTGTTCTTGATCAATTATTCAGTGCTATAAGACTTGTTGACGTGGACGTCATTGCCCACTTCAACATAGGCCAGCGAGATTTTTTCACACGTCTTTCATATTTTTATTAACCATTAAAAATCAAGCACTTTGAGTAAAAGCCAGGCTAGCACTTGGGAAATGCCTGAGGCTGGTTTCTTGAGTTCTGTCGAGTTGTTTAGGTTGAGGATCGTCCTAAAAGAGTTGAGCTGATAAAATAAAGTTGAAGGAAGATGTTAATATGAATCATCTACTGCTGGGGAATGAAAATAAAGCTGTTTAGACTACAGGGTTGGTGCCATGACACAAGCGTTAGAAACGGATATTCAAAAAAATTGTTCATAGTCAGAACTAAGAGTAATAAACATGAGGATGTTGTAGCCGAGAGCTAATAGGTACAAGATGTGACGCCCAAGTGGCCCCAAAGTGACAATAGATGGCACCGGCGGTGAAAACGGATGTGATATGCGTAACTAGGAAGTGCACGAAAAGTGCACAGTGATACATAACCTCCCCTTCAAAAAGCGAGAAAGTGTCGGGTGCAGACCAAACACCACAACTGACGACGGCCTCCAAGTAAATCTGGTTAGAAGTTGTTCATAGTGATAGCTGATTTCTGGTAAATGATAGTTGTAATTAGTGACAATGATAGAATACAAC